TTGTTGACCCCACCACTTCTTTCCAAGTACTTGTTCGGGCACGAACAACTCGTACCTTACGCTACCTGGAGGCAGCCTACATACGGCGGCTAAAACACGACCTATGTAAACAAATGGAGCATAAAGTGAACCTAACTCTGCCTTGGTAACACCAGCTCCCTGTTTACACATTTTCTTACCCAACTTTTTGCCTTAGACGTTTTTTCCCCAGTTTTTGCTGCCCACAGCGTTTTAACTTTTTTACTTTATTGATTGTCTCTTGGCCATTTCCTGTGACGTTGCTGGTTTGTATCCATTTTTCTGTATGAATTTAATTTTGTATTTTCTCTTACTTTATTCACGTTATGCAACATTTTTGCTGTTTACACAATTTTCAAAATACTAATGGTAATTGAAAGCAAGTGAAAACAGCAGGATTTATTTGTAAGAATAAATTTCGGGACAGCTTGGCAACTGCTTCCTCTTTCGGAATGAATAACGTAACAAGTCAAGAGCATAGCAGTTTGAATTTTCACAGAATCAATAACAGCAAGGTCATTTTTCAAGGCGGCAAATAGTCACTTCCACTAAAAAGCTTTCCAGTTAACTGGACAAAGGATGGTTAGCCTTTGCACGCACCCCAAACTGTGTCTAGGAATTCATGCGCACTTGCAAACGCAAGTACATTGGCTGAACACAAAAGCATTTGGCGACCAGGGCCGCTGAAAATTTACCTAATTGGCTTTTTAAACAAGAAAACGGAGTGCCACGGTCCTCCATTACTAAGCACTTGCTAGACAGTGGTCACTCTGTTGACCTCAACACATCCTTCCGAGTTCTTGTTCGAGCACGAACAAATCGGACCTTGCGCTACATGTAAGCAGTCTATATACGGCAGGAGAAACCCTACCTATGTAAGCAGTTAGAACATGTGCCTAATCGCCAACTGCCCTGGTATGCCCACATTTAATCAACCTTTTATTTTTGTTAATTCCCGTCTTTACTTTTCCCTCCCAAGTTTAAAGGCGACATTATTATCGAGAGTTCATCTTCTGCTCACCGGAATAAATTTGTACATTTGCTGACGCTTCGGACAGTTGGGCCGGCTGTCCTTTGTCGAAGCGAATACTAGCTTTATCGATCAGCAAGTT